TCCTCTTCGTCGTCCTCTTCGTCGTCCTCTTCGTCATCCTCTTCGTCATCCTCTTCGTCATCCTCTTCACTCGCTTCTCCACTCTCTTCTCCACTTTCTTTTCCATCATCTTCGTCGTCATCCTCATCACTCACATCTGATGAGCCGGAGGAACTAGAGTAACTGCTGTAGCTAGACCCACTGGTCAAGTTGGTATTACTGGAAATGTTGGATTCATTGTTGCCACTGCCCTCGCTTGCGTTGCTTTCAGTCCCATCGTCGTCATAAATCTCTCGGGCATTTCGCAACGCAATATCTGCGTTTAGGCAAACCTTAAATTCACTTAGAAGAGCTTGCAATTCTGACAAGTTTGCAGGTTCTTTACTACGCGCAGCATCGGCGTAGATAGGCTCGACTTGTTCGATAGCTTTTACCAGGTTTTTAATTAATCTTAGTTCCTTACCCATTGCGTTGGTATTATGTCTATAAGCACTTATATGCAACAAGAGTTGATAATAGCATAAATCAGTATGAGTTAAAAACCATTTATATAACGAAAGTAAACTCTATCGCCAATGATAGTGAAGTTACTTCATCAACAACGACCCAGCTCCTGGCAACATAAATAGAACATGGCTATCCTCTGAATGGCAATAGTCGATTGCATTACAGATTACACCTTATTCTAGCCATATTACTAATAATAGATTGTCTAGTCTTGTTGAAGAGCTAGAATTCCTGGTCGCATAGTTCGAGTGTCGTTTGGATATGATGCACGTGCTGATCACGATATTGGAAACAGCGTACAACTGAAGTTCTTAAACTAGGCTCTCATAACGATTTCCAGTAGTATCTGCATAATCTCGAGCTTTGCAATCTCTATATTGCAAAAAATTGGTTTTGTAGCCTTAGCAATTGACGCTCTACAGTCCACTCTGTCTCAGCTCTGATAAGTGATTAGTTACTTTTCTGATAGTGTAGAGAGGCCCTCATACTATCTGAAAGATATGGCCGAACTTCGGTGGGCGTCAAATCAAATTACGTTGTTAGCCTTTGCTTTAGCCCAAATCGTGAACATACAGAACGCATGCACGTCCAAAATCCCGATTCTCTACGAAGATTGCATCGGCATCATATAAAGGCTCTAAAATGTCGGCAAGGAGCTGCTTCGATTGCTGAAAGCTGAGAACTGGGGAATATGGCAATTCATATGCGTCTAAGTGAATTAAAGAAGTTGACATTGTGATAGCAACCTTAACCAGGTTGTAGATTCATGGGCTAGATACAGAACTTTCGCTCATAACGTGGTCACTTCTCTATGAATTACCAGGAAATATTCCCGATCCAAACCTTTACGGGTTATATCCCAACTTCAATAGCAGTAACTAAAGAGCAATCGTATTTAAGGATGGCTAAGGAAGAGAAGGTCACCCTGGCGCCGCAGCAATCATACTAGGTCCGAGGGAAGATATAAAACAAAAGATAGGTATCAGTGTAGGCTCAAAGAGAGGCTGAAATATCTACAGAGCCGAACTCATTGCACTTAGGAGCACCATGAGAATAGCATATCTTAACTAAAGATCAATTCTTGGACTGCAACGATGTGAAAGATACAGAGACGAGTGTCAAGATACCGATCCGACTATCTCGACCCCAATTTGCAAACATGGCGTGCCAAAATCAGGTCTTCTAAGCATTAGCCTGTATTTGCTCGCAGGCTACACTGAACATGTTTTCACAGATTGGATCGGACTCTCCCAAGGGGTTCCTGACCAGTTTATACCGTGGTAACGGCATTCCGCAATGCTCGGTATGCCCTCTTCATCCTGAATTAACAGTACAAGGTTACCATAGCGATCACCTGGCGGCTCCGCCCATCTGAATGCTTTGTCCTTTGCTTTTCTGATAGTCTTGGCAGTTAATTGCTGAAATTGAATAGTTTTCCCCCCACTCTCTCGTATTTGTTCGAAGAGGGCCCTCTTCAACAAAGATAGCCCATCGGCTCGCGAATCGCTGTGGGAAATCGCTAGCGTTCGCAGGTCATTCAATGCTGCACAACCCATACCTTTCACAAGGGGGTGAGTTGATAGAAACTCCCAATTCGGCAGTTTTTTTACGTCTTCGTGAAATCGTTCTTTGTCCAGAATGGTGCGTGTGATCGACGTTAACTTCTCGAAGAGTGGGCCGTCCTTGCGAAATTGCTGGAGCGCAGCTCTCTTCTCCTTATTGGTCATCCCATCCAATACCGCCCCAATTTCGGCCCTGATAACTTCATGACTTGCTGCCGCGTAACAAGCCACATCCTTGTTGACTTTGGCAATGAATTCTCGCATCTTCTGGACCCTATCTTCGGGTGCAGATTGACGAGCAATAGTCCCTGCCTGCGCTCTTAGCTTGTCCAATTGTGGCTCATATTTTCTCATCAAGAATCGAGATTGAGGCGTGTGATGATGGTTCTGACATTCGGTAGTTCCGCATTTGCACTTATCTTCGCTGAAAGCGGTGTAATACCTGTCCATCAGTAAGCTACTATTGATGCAAAGCTCAGTCTTAGGTGTAGACGATACCGGAGGTTATAATTGGCAGTTAATTGCTCACCAGTCATGATAGGCTTGCTAGCTACAAGTATAAGATGGAGCTGGTCGGAAACTAGCCATTTGATGATCGAGCAGTTAGGAGCGTGAGAATGATTGACAAACTTGCAGTCTGCATCGCAATCCGTCTTGTCTAACACTTGGTCATCACCGTATGCCATGCGGTAGGGACTACTTACGTCATTAGGTTGCCGAGCCTTTAGGTCGCGGGTAAATTCGACAATCCACTGTCCAGGTTGCAGAGGTTCTACTGCCTTCAAATCTTTCCCAGTCCATTCAAACCGAGCCCGTTGTGACTCAAGTTTTTGCAGAAGCTCGAAATATGGCCGGTTGCCACATGTCTGCCCAACGCTACAGTTGTCTACTACACACTCACGGGCCTGTCTACGGTTTGAGCATTGATCTGTACATTGGTCTACACAGCCGCACAAATTCTCATTGTAGCTTCTGCTCTTGCCATGTCGAGCCAGGCGGTCGTTTTGATCTTCCAACTCTTCTAATAAGCTTGAGGGATTCGTCTCAGTAGCCACGTTAACTCTCCTCACTCTTTGGCCGGTTGCTAGACTCTTTAGCAACGTAAAAGTTGGGGTTGAAATTGAACTTACAATCGTTGCCTGTAAACCTGGGCCGCTTCGCGCTCGTAATAGGATCATTTGACAGTCTCTTCCGCGCTTTCCCTACATTCTGGGTCCCAGATTTAGCGAGTGCATGAGCTCTTGCAATTTTCTCTATCAACGTGCCGACTTCGGGAACTGGTCTCGATAGAGGAGGACCCCTGATACCACATCCATGATAACATCCTTGATAATTCGCGTCAACAATCCATTTTTTTTCCATGCAAAAATTGACCGCTTCGGCGTAATTGCGCCCGTCGTTCATACCCCAATGGTAGGTATATCCTGAGAGAGCAACGATTTGACCTGCCTTTTGAACTATAAAATGAAAATCTACGTTCCACTCACGAAGCAATGAAGGGGAAACAGAGATTCCCAAATGGCGCACAAATTGAGAGCAGTGTCCTGACCTTGGGAAGATTTCACGAATTCGACGCTCGAAAAGTTCCTTGCTTGACGGCTTGACGGCTATCCATCTCTTGGGAGCCCCAGCAAAAACAACGTTGTACGATGCAAAATGCCAGTCTTCAACATGTGCTCCGAAGTGTGAAACGTCATGCGAATAGTAGGCATAAGGAGTGCTGATACCTGCACTGTAGGACAGTCCTTCCAACAGCTGTCCGCACGATAGCTTGTATGATCCCTTGCGGCAGGGATAAGAGGTCACATCGATATTGAAGTAAAGATGCTTTTTCGCCGTCTTCATCGCCTTTTCGAAAGGTTCCTCCATTTCTCCTGGCGTGTGGTCTTTTGCTGGTTCAAATACTGGCTCACGGTCCGGAAGTACAGCCCTACTGTTGCTGATCTGGAGAATGCCTGTTGTCTTGCCTTTACGAGACGAAACATACTGCGCAGTTCCTTCAAAATCAAAATGTTTTGGTGGCAAATGTATATCGTTCGAAGGGGAGATAAGATGCGGCGCATCGAGCAGAAGGGCACCATAATCGCGGACCGTCTTATCGGCTTCGAAAATGTTTTGTATCGTACTCACGAGATTATTAGTCTCCGTATCACTGATCTCACAATAGACTGGAAGGATAGGTGTCCCAAACTTCGTTAGCTCGAGCGCGGAATAGCCTGATTTTGCTTGGCTACCCTTTACCTCTTCCCCTCGCTGTTCTGACGCGAGCTGGGTTAGCAATGTGCCCAATTCATTCCGTATCCTGCTGCCATTGATTTTCGGCCACTCCTCTTTCAATGATTCGTCTAAAAGTATCCGGACAAATCGATCAGGATTCTCCAAAAACTGCTCAATGTATCCGCAAACATAGACGGCGCAGTCATTGGAGTTCTCATCCTGTCTGGGGGCATGGCGAGCGTATAAGCCGCCGAAGGAATGCTCTTCAACTGATGTATATTTCCTGACCTGTGCCTCTAGAGAGAGGTACCTCTTGATATTCTCAATTGTCTTGGGGTGCTGCCTCCCCAGCGAGTCGAGGATCACAACGGTTGGAACTTTTTGCGGCTTTTGAACTCGTATGCTCGACAAATACAGTACTATTGCCAGATACCAATGGTTGGGCTCGTGGATTGGAATGACGAGGTAATCACGCTCGAAGATATCCTCCTTCTTAGTCGACGTCTTCGCTCCGTTGTAGTTTATGCATGTTTCCGGAGCAGACAGGTTTTCGTAGAATTGCGAGGGGAAGAAATGCGCTGAACGTTCGTTCTGCCGAAACTTCTCTCGTAACAAACGAATGTAAAATAGGACAATTTCGTCGTTGAAGCAGCATCCTTCCAGTACGCATTTCTGAAAACTTTCGAAGGACAAGCTTACTTGATCTTCACCGGTCTTCGGATACACAACAGGATTTGTCCAGGGTGTGTCATACGTGTGCTGTTCCGAGGATCGATCGATGACAGGCTTCCTATCAGAAAATGTACGGGACTTCTGTCCCTGCGAATCAGAGTCACCCCTGTTGTGTCGCTTTGCCATTACCAGGTCCAGATAACTGATCTTTTAGCGAAATAAGGAGGGCATCGAGAGCCTGCGCTGTTAAATGAGGCGTTGGGGTGCGATGAGGGGAATTGGGTTGCGTGCACGCTGGCGAAATTCCAAGTCGTGTCAATCTCTGAAAGGGTTTTGTCGTGGATGGACGAAAACGAGAGGACAAGTTGCGTCTAGGCGCGTGCTTTCGCAGCGCACAGACCAGATCCAGCCTCCGACTCGCCTATGCACCATACCGGAAGAAATTGACTGCGCACGGGCCACAAAGCCCAAAAATGGCATCACAACAATGCGAATGCACTCCAAAAAAGAGCATGGACCTCGTGAATATGATACAATTCGAAGGAGTCGCTTTTTTGAAGCTTGTGATCATAAATTATCTAACTTAGTGTTTCATTCAATTCTCTCTGCAAGTCACATGGCATAGATATACCACCTTCAACTGTGTTGGAAACTGTTTTGAAAAAGTGAATCGTATTATTTTAGAATTGAAGTTGCTACAGGATGTAAATATAAAGACATCTTATCTATGGTACACTAGTCTGTAGTAGGTAATCTCCACCAGTCATGATAGATGGTACCTTCCAACACTCCCCTCAAACAGAATAACCAATTATGATAGTAATAGAAGTGATGTAAGTTTTTCAAGTGTTGGTCGAGGTAATGATTTTGTACAAAGGTCAGCGAGGTTCAATGCTGATAGTACATGCTGAATCTCAAAATCTCCTGCTACATAGCATTCTCATACAAAATAAAGATATATCTTGATATACTTTGATCGTATATTTATTCAATGGTCCTTTATAAGACTAATAGCTGGGTTGTTGTCTGTTAAGAGTGTAGCATAAAGCTGATTATCAGGTTGTAGAGTTTGAATAACTTGTATCACCCATGTAAGGTGACTTGCTGCATATGAACACGCCATATACTCAGCTTCGCAAGTTGATTTTGCAACACATAATTATCACTTAGATGACCAAGATATTATTGCGCCTGCGAATTAAAGTACATACCCACTGAAGGATTTAGCAGCGTCCGGGTTGTTGCCCCAGGATGCATCTGCATACATACTTAAATTGTATGTTGTGTCGGGTTTTTGTTTAGGCAGGTGCAGAGTGTAGCCTTTGGTCTCTTGTATAAATCAAAGAACTTGGTACGCGAGTCTAAGGTGGTGTTCAGATAGGTTTGAGTTGAAGGTAGCAAGCATACTGACAGTGTAGGATAGGTCTGGCCTTGTGCAGATTGCGAGGTAATTAATACTGCCGATAAGTTGTTGATAGAGCAGGCAACAAGGCTCATCAATTTCCTCGATTGATCTGTGTGGAAAAAAATTTAGATCAAGTAGTGTTTTCCAACCATTACAAGTATTCATATTGAAGCGTTGAAGCATCCTCATGAGATACTATTGTTGTCCTATTAGAATATATGAATCATTAACTGTGATTTCCAGTCCAAGTAGCGTACGTGCTTGACCTAGATCTTTGAATTTGAAATCTTGCGCTATGGAACTTCAGAAACGATCTATCTGAGAGAAATCACCAATAAGAAGGAGATCATCAACATAGACTGCAATCGCTATATATCCAATAAAGACGCAAGGATCAAATGGTGATTGATCAAAGCCTTCCATAGCGAGTCGTTCACTGAGGGTGCCGTACCATTCTCATCCAGACTGTCGTAAACCGTATAGGGTCTTTTTAAGAAGCAAGATTTTTTCTGGTTGTTCAAATCCAGGTGGGCAGCGCATGTATATGGTTTCAGTGAGGAAACTGTTCAGGTACGCAGTGTCAAAGTCCATTTACTGCACACTATAGTTTTGCATAGCGGCTATCTGTAGTAGTATGCGTAGACTGTCAAACCATACAACTGGTGCGTACGTGTCTTCAAAGTCTATGCCGGGGACTTGAGTAAAACTTCATGCGACAAGGCATGCTTTATATCTCTTTTTGCCAGATATTTCGTGTTTGATTGTGAAGACCCAACGACAACCAATAGGTTTATGCATTGTTTCTGTAGCGTCGACAACTAACCAAGTTCCATTCAATCTGTGTGACTCAATTTCCTTGTTTATAGCTTCTTGCCATTATGACCAATCAGTTGAGCGCTTTGCCTCGTTAATGTTACTTAGGATTAGATCATCTGATGTCATTTGCGTAACAAAAGCTTGGATGTTATAGGCTGCTGAGATTTGTCCCCCCGATTCTGAGATTTGTCCCCCCGATTCTGAGATTTGTTCCCCCGATTCTGGGATTTGTCCCCCCTTTGAGATTTGTCCCCCCCGCTAGCTGTAATGTAATTTAAATCACTATAAACAGCTTAGTGCAGTGCCACCTATTTTATCAATTATTCAAGAGATAACAAACTTATATAGTTAATAAAGCTATCTATATACATCTATCTATAGCGTTGTCTTTTATTTGGGCTCAGCGATGACCACACATCTGATACTTTACGTGCTGCAGCGCGCTTAGACCACAATACTAGTATACTTTGTACTATAGGCGGTGATCTTCGAGCCTGAACTTGTGCAAATCTTTCAGTGTAGAAGGCATCTTTGTCTCCAAAATGGAAGTTCCACGCCATATTTGAGGTGCAATCAGCATAAATTCCACAGGTACTTAGTGCCATATGCCATGCCTCAACTAACTTAGGTGGAGCGTCTTCCTCTCCAGTCTTATATAAATGACTAAAGACTGCAGATATATTGTGTAAGCCATCTAGAACTAGTTGATATCGACGGCGTTCAATATCTACTAAGAGCTCCTCTAAAGATAGAGGCTGCCATAAAGATTATTGTTATGGTAGTTATAGTGGTTGTGATAGTTATAGCAGTTGTGGCGGTGGTGATGATAGGGCTTCCGTAACAGATACTGTGACAGAAATTGGTGAAGAATAAATAGAAGCAGTTGGCAAGGAGAGCGGAGTTGATACTGGCCCAGCTGTTACTGGGATTAATATAGACACAGATGTTATTACAGGATTTTTTGTAGATAGTATGTGCGGAGCCATAGATAAAGTAACCTATGTACTAGTTAATAAGGCTTCGGCTGGTGTCTATCCTTCTTTCTAGTTAATAGGGTTAGATCATAGTACAGAGCACTTAAATGCTGACGGATCTCAGCAAGTTAATGATTGGCTCTTCTTCTACGCTCCTCTTGTATTATGTGAGAAACAGAGAGGGAACTGGCGCACGGGGCAGCTGCGCTTAGGCCACGAGTCACATGCGCTATGGGACTGTAGTATTTAAGCTACGCACAGCATTCCTTTTAGTTTACTTCCTTAGTCGTCAGTCTTGACACGAATCCAAGCCTATTGCTCTCCATCTTGATATCACGCTTACATCCACCCCTTACATATTAGCTAGAAGTGGCTCGAGGATAAACTGGTGTGGTCTCGGTGAAGGTATTTAAGTAGACTCTCCAAGTATACGCTACTAACGCCAGTGATCATTATATACATAGCGCAGAGGTAAAGGCCCATAACTTATTGCCATTTGCAGTCTATGGCGACACAGAAGGCCATTTATCCTCTTAAAAAGACCTGAACAAGGCTTTTTACTACTTAGCTGTTTCTCTTCCTTTTGACGCATAAGTTCCTGTTGTCTGATACGTTCGACTACAGGAGGTGTGATTATTATATGAATATTAGACAGCAGGAACAGCATCTTCTCATGCATATGCTCAAACTTCATGTTATGCATAGATAAGGCGATCTCCTTCTCATATTTATTATACTGATTATAGATTAACTGCTCGATTCTCTGAACAACATGTAGTATATCGCCAGTAGAAATCAGTAAATAATCCTTTAGTACTTTATGCATTCCTTCAACAGGAGAAGTTGTAATTATATCATACTGTCAATAATAAGATGTCTAAGCCTTCGCCCATTGAGCGCGTGTTTCATATTGATTCTCCTTTAGATACCTGCATAGTTCTTCCTGATGCTGATAATCATTAAGAAGCTTATCCCACTTTATTTGAAAGTCAGGACGCTTAGGTGCGAAGACGACCTAGTTTGTTAGATTATTAATAATATTTTTTAGGTGTGACATACCTGGTTCCAGCGCTTCAGAAAATTCTGATGTTCTTCAGCAATTGCCTTCTTTTCTTCTAGTGTTGTCCCATCGGCGTCTCTCTATACAAGTTAAGCCTTTGTCTGGATATTCTTGTTGATATGCTATATATAAAGAAGCTGTGGAATATTTAGAAGCAATCTACAAGCTGCTTGCTTTATAGCTTGTTCTTGGTCACTTATAAATACGCGTGGATATGGCACTCCTGTGAGTGAGAGAAAGGTTGAGAGTGCCCAATAGTAATCTTCCTCCGTCTCATTACAAGGAAAGCAGAAGCCAATAGAGAAAAAGGTCTGAAGATTAGTGCAGCCAAGTATATGCAATAGCAGAAGCTTGTACTTATTAGTTTGATATATACAATCCATTAAAAGAACATCAGGATTTGCTAATAGCAGTTTGATCTACTTTTGTGTTACGAAGGTAACACGTGACGAAACCAAGAAACCAAATATGATTGGTTCTTAGGGAAAGAACCAATGGCAGATGCAGAATTTCTCATTTGTCTTGGCAATGAGAATTCTCATTCTCTCATTCTTTGAGAAGATGAGAATTCTCGCGTTCTCAGGAAATGAGAAAGTGAGAAGGCTCACGTTCTCGAGAAATGAGAACGTGAGGAGAGGTTTTCCTATGTCTATAAAGGAATGGCTTTACCCTCATTTTCAAGAAACTGTAGTTTAATTGTCTAGCTTTGCCTAGTAGCTAGTTTGAATACTTTTCTATACTTGAAGCTCATGCTGCTCTAAGTTATAAAATCGAATACTATCTTATTGCTGTCCCTCCTCAATAATTCTTAGTCTCTTCTCTATCCTTTTGCTCTAGGAAGCTAAACTGTCACACAGTCACCCTTTGTGCATGAGGATCGCTCAAAAAGACAGGCTATGCTAGCTCAATTAGCTAGCATAGCTGGGTGACATAATATATATACCCTTACA